TCCTCTGAGGCTGAGAGAGTGTGACTTTCCTAACATGCCAAAGTCAAACATCAACACTCAGAATGCCCATTAATATAGACTAAGCATGGGCAAACTTTGGCCCTCCAGGTGTTTTGGACTTCAACTCCCACAATTCCTAACAGCCTCAGGCCCCTTCCTTTTCCCCCTCCGCCGCTAGCGGTGGAGGGGGAAAAGGAAGGGGCCTGAGGCTGTTAGGAATTGTGGGAGTTGGAGTCCAAAACACCTGGAGGGCCAAAGTTTGCCCATGCATGATGTAAACCAATCCGAAGAAGCTGCAGATGCAAACTCCAAGGGATTTTCATACTGTTGACATCTATATAAATAAAAATGTAATGTTCGTTTGTGGGATTAACAGAACTCAAAAACCACTGGACAAATTGACACCAAATTTGGACACAAGACACCTAACAACCAAATGTATGTCCTCAAAAAAATTGATTTTGTCACTTGGGAGTTGTAGTTGCTGGGATTTATAGTACACCTACAATCAAAGAGCATTCTGAACCCCACCAACGATCGAATTGAACCAGACTTGGCACATAGTTCTCCCATGACCAACAGAAAATACTGGAAGGGTTTGGTGGGCAGTGTCGTTTGGTTTTGGAGTTGTAGTTCACCTACATCCAGAGAGCATGGTGCACTCAGTGATGGATTTGGACCAAACTTGGCACAAATATTCAATATGCCGAAATATGAACACTGGTGGAGTTTGGGGGAAATAGACCTTGGCATTTGGGAGTTGTAGTTGCTAGGATTTATAGTTCACCTACAATCAAAGAGCATTCGGAACCCCACCAACGATAGAATTGGGCCAAACCTCCCACACAGAACCCCCATGACCAATAGAGTGGGCCACAGCAACGTATGGCAGGGGACGGCTAGTCTATATAAATAAAAATGTAATGTTTGTTTGTGGGATTAACATAACTGAAAAACCACTGGATGAATTGACACCAAATTTGGACACAATACACCTATCAGGCCAAAGAGTGACCATCATTACTCGTAAACACACTGAAAAATACAGTGGAAAGGACTTCAAAAGCCAAAAAAGCAAAAAGATGCTACAGCGCATGCGCAAAAACAACTCCCCAGGCAAACAAAACACAAAATTTCATATCCACACCCTCTTCTGGACTACAGCTCCCAGCATCCCCTAGATCAAGCCCTTTAGGAGAGGAGGATGATCCGAATATACTCCTTCCAAAATGCAAGCTTTCTTCTCCTTGGATTTCTTTGAGAGCATCCCAATCCCTGCATATTTCAAATTTCCTATTCCTGAACTGCAACTCCCACCAATCCTCCAAATAGATAGATTAGATAGAGATCGATTGGCAGGTAGATAGATTGATCAGGAGGACTGCTGGGAGTTGCAGTCCAAGAATAGTTAGAGAAGGAAGAAAGGGGAGAAAGGGGAAGGGAAAGAAAAGGGAGGGAAGGGAAGAGGAAGAGAAGAAAGGAAAGGAAAGGAGAGAAGGAAAGAAAAAAGGGAACGAAGGGGAGAAAGAAGGAGAGAAAGAGGAAGGGAAGGTTGGCACAGTAACATGTGGTGGGTACAGCTAGTATAGCATAAGAATTAAAGTTTCAACTGCATGCAGATCTGTTTGAGTCAGCCTGATCCACTCCACCTTGACAATAGCTGGCATCTCCCCATGGCCTGCATTGTTTGTTGAGTTCTGTCCTTTGTGCAATATTCTGTGCCAAGGACAAACAACCAGAAATTATGGTTACATCCAGTGCTGGACCTTGAGAACATCCTCTTAAGCAACATTCTGTGCTGGTCCCATAGACCTCAGATAAGGATTGCCACGTTTGCATGAGATATTATCCATGCACACTTTGTCTTTTTCTTCATTCAGTCTAAACTACTATAACATGACTGTCCTGACTGTGAAAACCGTTCAGGAGTGGAACTCTCTGCCCCGGAGTGTGGTTGAGGCTCCTTCTTTGGAAGCTTTTAAACAAAAGCTGGATGGCCATCTGTCAGGGGTGCTTTGAATGCAATATTCCTGCTTCTTGGCAGGGGGTTGGACTGGATGGCCCACGAGGTCTCTTCCAACTCTTTGATTCTATGATTCTATAAGATACGGAGGCTTGGAACAAACGGCTTCTGTCTGGGACTGTTCTGTAAATTGGCTAGATTGCAATCAATGCTGTGATTCGATGGATCCTTTGAAGAAACCTATTATTTGTTGGGGTTGCTGTAAGTTTTTTGGGCTGTATGGCCATGTTCCAGAAGCATTCTCTCTTGACGTTTCGCCTGCACCTGTGGCAGACATTCTCAGAGGTTGTGGGGTTATTGTTTGTTTACTTTTCTGCATCATTTCAAGGCTCATTCCAGTTCCATGTTCCACTTGGGAGCTATAGTAGATCGGCTATCTTAGCAATACACAACAATAGTGTACAACTATCTAACACAATGATTCCACTTTTAACTGCCCTTAGAACATCCCATAGCTATTTATTTATCATGTCAGAAGCAAACCGAGGGTACCGTTGTAATGTATTTAAAAACACAAACAAAGTATAAAAACTTGGCATGTCGTTCATCAGTGGAACTCTGTGCCCCGAAATATGGTGGAAGCTGTTAGGAATTGTGGGAGTTGAAGTCTAAAATGCAATTTTCCTGCTTCTTGGCAGAATGGGGTTGGACTGGATGGCCCATGAGGTCTCTTCCAACTCTAGGATTCTAGTATGTCCATACATGGCAACATTTTACATATGAGGACTGGTACATGTGTGGCCAAGATACATCCAGTAAGTATGATGAAGGAAGTAAAATTATTAACAAGGGAAAGAAAACAAACTGGGAGAGGCTGCAGCAATTTGCTCCTGCCTGAGGCCCCAGTTTCTGATCCGAGATTATCTGCTTTGAACTGGATTGTATGTCAGTTAATCTGTTCAAAGCAGATAATTTTGTAATTATTTTAAATAACGAAACGCAAAAAACCCCCAAAAAACGAATCGATTTTAGAAACAAATTTTTCCGTTGTTACCCAGGCCTAGTAATTTTATGCATGGTAACAGAAATATGTGCATGTGAAAAGGATCCTGCTCAAAATACAGTCTGGGTTCTCTGCCCTTTCGCATAAATGTCCTTTGACCAGTATCTGGCCCCTTGGAGTGCCTCTGGTGTTGCCGCAAGGAGGTCCTCCATTGTGCATGTGATGGCAGGGCTCAGGTTGCATTGCAGCAGGTGGTCAGTGGTTTGCTCTTCTCCACACTCGCATGTCGTGGATTCCACTTTGTGGCCCCATTTCTTGAGGTTGGCTCTGCATCTCGTGGTGCCAGAGCGCAGTCTGTTCAGCGCCTTCCAAGTCGCCCAGTCTTCTGTGTGCCCAGGGGGGAGTCTCTCATTTGGTATCAGCCATTGATTGAGGTTCTGGGTTTGAGCCTGCCACTTTTGGACTCTCGCTTGCTGGGTGTTCCAGCGAGTGTCTCTGTAGATCTTAGAAAACTATTTCTTGATTTAAGTCATTGACGTACTGGCTGATACCCAAACAAGGGATGAGCTGGAGATGTCTCTGCCTTGGTCCTTTCACTATTGGCTGCTACTTCCCGGTGGATGTCAGGTGGTGCAATACCGGCTAAGCAGTGTAATTTCTCCAGTGGTGTAGGGCGCAGACACCCTGTGATAATGCGGCGTGTCTCATGAAGAGCCACATCCACTGTTTTAGCGTGGTGAGATGTGTTCCACACTGGGCATGCGTACTCAGCAGCAGAGTAGCATAGTGCAAGGGCAGATGTCTTCACAGTGTCTGGTTGTGATCCCCAGGTTGTGCCAGTCAGCTTTCGTATAATATTGTTTCTAGCGCCCACTTTTTACTTGATGTTCAGGCATTGCTTCTTGTAGGTAAGGGAACAGTCCAGGGTAACTCCCAGGTGTTTGGGTGCGCTGCAATGCTCCAGTGGGATTCCTTCCCAGGTGATTTTCAGAGCTCAGGATGCTTGTCTGTTTTTAAGGTGAAAAGCACATGTCTGTGTTTTAGATGGATTAGAGATCAGCTGGCTTTCCCTGTAGTATGTGGTAAGGGCACCTAGAGCTTCAGAGAGCTTCTGTTCAACCATCTCAAAGCTCCCTGCTTGAGCAGTAATGGCACGATCATCAGCATAGATGAAACTCTCTGTCCCTTCTGGCAGTGGCTGGTCATTTGTGTAGATGTTGAACATGGATGGAGCAAGCACGCTCCCCTGAGGCAGGCCGTTCTTCTGTTTCCGCCATCTGCTCCCTCCTTTGTTTTTGCGCCTACCTTCAGGAAAGGTGGGCATCTCCACCTCTCTCTCTCTCTCTCTCTCTCTCTCTCTCTCTCTCTCTCTTGGTCCCAATGGCTGAGGAGAAAGTCAGGAGAAGAGGTGACTTTTGGTGCACACGCCGGGGTCTTCAGGCACGCCTCCGGACCCAAAGCGGGCCAGGCAAGGGAGCAAGTGCGGAAAGTGTAGTTACTGGGATGTATAGTTCACCTACAATCAAAGAGCATTCTGAACTCCACCAATGATGGAATTGAACCAAATATGGCACACAGAACTCCCACGACAAACAGAAAATATATATCAATGATTGGTTGGCGGGGGGGGGGGGGCAAAATACTGTTTGCTTACCGTTGAAAATTACCTAGGGCCGCCTCTGACTACGGGGATTACCATAGGGGCTATAGGAGCTGGTCTTCCTTGGTGGTTTCCCCTCAAAGGTTGAACCAGGCCTGACCTTGTCGATCAGACCAGATCTGCCAGCTTCAAGGTATGCAGGTTCTTGGTTCCACCGCCAATCTGCATAAAGGCAATATTGATATTGGCACTCGTATTGTTAAGCCTCTTCCTTGGAATTAACTTTCTCCTCCGCCCTCATTAATAACACAACTTGGCTTATAAATTCCTTTCCTGGTTGGCCACTCATCAGTATATCCGTGAAGCCATCAGTATATACGTATGCAACACATTTCGTTTCTTTATTCTGAACTTGGCTTGCCATTTCAAACAAGATGGTCTTCTTCGGCTACTATCGGCACACCTTCCTTAGTCACACAATTGCAAGGTAAGATTTCACTCACCAGAGTAAACAGATTCTCCGGGCACAATGCAAATATTATCTAGCAGATTTCTGATTAATGCCCTGTCTTTACTTCCCTTCTTATCCTCTGATTGTGAGACCAGAGATGGGGAAACAATGGGGTTTTCCACCCGGAGCCCGGGCTGACGGCTTACTTATTGCGTGATAAGGAAGTCTTGGGGAGGTGGGGAAGGGATATAAAGTCTCCTGAAGGGTAAGGCAAGGACATTGGGCGTTGGCCAAGTATCTCACAAGAGACAGGATTGGCATTGGGACCTCTTGGCACGCAAGATTCGGGTAAGGAATTTGGAGACGCTCTGGAAATGCAAATCCTGGGTGGCAGGAATTTGGGAGGAATAGCTAACCATCTCAGAAGATAGGAACAGAACCCATAAGGATCTGAACTAATTAATCGAGCATGGGCAAACTTGGGCCCTCCGGGTGTTTTGGACTTCAACTCCCACAATTCTAACCGCCGGTAGGCTGTTAGGAATTGTGGGAGTTGAAGTCCAAAACACCTGGAGGGCCCAAGTTTGCCCATGCTTGAGATATAAGCAGCTAACCATCTCAGAGGATAGGACTACAACCCAAAAGGACCTGAAAGAACTAGATCAGGCATGGACAAACTTGGGCCCTCCAGATGTTTTGGACTTCAACTCCCACAATTCCTAACAGTAGGCTGTTAGGAATTGTGGGAGTTGAAGTCCAAAACACATGGAGGGCCCAAGTTTGCCCATGCCTGAGATATAAGCAGCAGATCATTTGTAGCAGATCATTATAGGAGTTGAAGTCCAAAACATCTGGAGGACCTAAGTTGGTCCATGCCTGTTCTATATTGTAGTCATGCTATCCCACTAGACCACATTCTGAATATTGTGTCCAATTCTGGACACCACAATTGAAGGGAGATGTTGACTAAGCTGGAATGTGTCCAGAGGAGGGTGACTAAAATGATCAAGGGTCTGGAGAACAAGCCCTATGAGGAGTGGCTTAAAGAGCTGGGCCTGTTTAGTGTTCAGAAGAGAATCATAGAATCATAGAGCTGGAAGAGACCTCATGGGCCATCCAGTCCAAACCTATTCTGCCAAGAAGCAGGAATATTGCATTCAAAGTACCCCTGACAGATGGCCATCCAGCCTCTGTTTAAAAGCTTCCAAAGAAGGAGCCTCCACCACACTCCGGGGCAGAGGGTTCCACTGCTGAACGGCTCTCACAGTCTTCTTAATGTTCAGATGGAATCTCCTTTCTTGTAGTTTGAAGCCATTGTTCTACTGCGTCCTAGTCTCCAGGGAAGCAGAAAACAAGTCTGCTCCCTCCTCTCTGTGGCTTCCTCTCCCATACGTATACATGGCTATCATATCTCCTCTCAGCCTTCTCTTCTTCAGGCTAAACATGCCCAGCTCCTTAAGCCGCTCCTCATAGGGCTTGTTCTCCAGACCCTTGATCAGTTTAGTTGCCCTCCTCTGGACACATTCCAGCTTGTCAACATCTCTCTTCAATTGTGGTGCCCAGAATTGGACACAATATTCCAGGTGTGGTCTGACCAAGAGAAGACTGAGAGGAGACATGATGAGGGTCATGTATAAATACATGAGGGGAAGTCATAGGGAGGAGTGTGCAAGCTTATTTTCTGCTTCCCTGGAGACTAGGACGCGATGGAACGATGGCTTCAAACTACAGGAAAAGAGATTCCAACTGAACATTAGGAAGAACTTCCTGACTGTGAGAGCTGTTCAGCAGTGGAACTCTCTGCCTAGGAATGTGATGGAGGCTCCTTCTTTGGAGGCTTTTAAGCTGAGGCTGTATGGCCATCTGTCGGGGGTGATTTGAATGCGATTTTCCTGCTTCTTGGCAGAATCGGTTGGACTGGATGGCCCATGAGGTCTCTTCCAACTCTAGGATTCTATGATTCTCTATAATCCAGTTCAAAGCAGATAATGTGAATTAAAACCCTCCAAATAGATACATCCTCTGTTCATGTCCAGCATTTATTTTTAAAGTTTTAACTCTTACATTTGGCCCAGCCATAGGTTTTCTAATTCTTGTGTTTATTGTCTACTTGTGAGTTATATTAATTGTATTGTTTATTTTGTTTATTGCTTGTTGTTTTTATTATTGCTTGTTGTTTATGATGTGTTGTTGGGCTCGGCCTCATGTAAGCCACTCCGAGATGTACCTGAATTTCTTTTGTAATTTTTAAGACTTGTCCAGGTTAAACATATTGTCGAAGGCTTTCATGACTGGAATCACTGGGTTGTTGTAAGTTTTTTGGGCTGTATGGCCATATTCTAGCAGCATCCTCTCCTGACATTTCGCCTGCATCTATGGCAAGCATCCTCAGAGGTTGTGAGGTCTCACAACCTCTGAAGATGCTTGCCATAGATGCAAGCAAAACGTCAGGAGAGAATTCTTCTAGAACATGGCCATATAGCGCGAAAAACCTACAACAACCCATTTCATAAAATCATAGAAAGAATCAAAGAGTTGGAAGAAACCTCCTGGGCCATCCAGTCCAACCCCATTCTGCCAAGAAGCAGGGACATTGCATTCAAATCACCCCTGACAGATGGCCATCCAGCCTCTGTTTAAGAGCTTCCAAAGAAGGAGCCTCCACCACACTCCGGGGCAGAGAGTTCCACTGCTGAACGGCTCTCACAGTCAAGTTCAGGTTCCTAATGTCTTCCTTCCTGCCTAGCTGTAAACCTTTAGGATTTTACTCTCTCTTTCCCCTTCCTTGGGGAAAAGCATGCTCTTGGTAGCCAGATTCCCACAGTTGTAGCCAGAGGAACTCCTGGTCGCTGGTTTCTATAGTTGGGTAAATGGAACGCCCAATAAATGCGAGTCATTACCATGTCATTACCATGTCATTAATCATTACCATCCCTGAATCAGACCAGAAAGATGAAAGGAACCAAAGATAATATTATTCATTTGATGCCATATAATGCAGTTTGAATCTGTATTACATCAGCCAGACAGATTCAAACTACATTATATGGCAGTATAGTTCGGCCCTCCAGGTGTTTTGGACTCCAACTCCCATCATTCCTTAAGCGGCGGAGGGGGAAAAGGAAAGGGCCTGAGGCTGTTAGGAATGATGGGAGTTGGAGTCCAAAATACCTGGAGGGAGTGCCCAAGATTGCCCATGTCTGGTCTAGCATGTGTAGAAATATTGCTCGTGAGTAGATGCAGCACAGAGAACATGAGAATGGCATCATTTGTGCAAGTTACTTTTCCTTATCTGCTACCCAGGTATCCAGGGAAGATGTTCTGGCTTTTTTCCTTGGTTGTTTTGGCTTCTTGCACACCACAAAGCAGAGCGTTGGACGGAGGAATCAAAATCCAACTCACCCAGAAAGGTCTCGAATATGGTATGTATGTATCTGTCTCACTCACTACAATCGCCATGTTCCATTCATGTCACTTAGTGCCACAACCTGTGCTGAATTGGTTGAGACTCCACCAGATGGTTCTTGGGGTCTCTTCCAACTCTAATTATTGTTGTTGTTGTTGTTGTCGTTGCTGAGGTTGGATAGCCATCTGTCGGGGTGGCTTTGGTGGTGCTTTTCCTGCATGAAGGCAGTAGGGAGCTGGACTCGATGGCTTTGAGAGATCCCTTCCAACTCTATTAATTATTACTATTATTATGGCTGGATAGCCATCTGTCAGGGGGACTTTGGTGGTGCTTGTCCTGCATGAAGACAGAAGGGAGCTGAACTGGATGGCCTTTAGAGTTCTCTTCCAACTCTATTAATTATTACTATTATTATGATTATTATTATGGCTGGATGGCCATCTGTCGGGAGGGCTTTGGTGATTATTATTATTATGATTATTATTATGGCTGGATGGCCATCTGTTGGGAGGGCTTTGGTGATGCTTATCATGGCATGAAGGCAGAAGGGAGCTGGACTAGATGGCCTTTAGAGGACCCTTACAATTATTATTATTATTATTATTATTATTATTATTATTATTATTGATGTTGTATGGCAGTCTGTCGGGAGGGCTTTGGTGATGCTTGTCCTGGCATGACGGCAGAAGGGAGCTGGACTAGATGGCCTTTAGAGGACCCTTACACTTATTATTATTATTATTATTATTATTATTATTATTACTGCTACTACTACTTATAATTATTACTATTATTATGGCTGGATAGCCATCTGTCAGGGGGACTTTGGTGGTGCTTGTCCTGCATGAAGACAGAAGGGAGCTGAACTGGATGGCCTTTAGAGTTCTCTTCCAACTCTATTAATTATTACTATTATTATGATTATTATTATGGCTGGATGGCCATCTGTCGGGAGGGCTTTGGTGATTATTATTATTATGATTATTATTATGGCTGGATGGCCATCTGTTGGGAGGGCTTTGGTGATGCTTATCATGGCATGAAGGCAGAAGGGAGCTGGACTAGATGGCCTTTAGAGGACCCTTACAATTATTATTATTATTATTATTATTATTATTATTATTATTGATGTTGTATGGCAGTCTGTCGGGAGGGCTTTGGTGATGCTTGTCCTGGCATGAAGGCAGAAGGGAGCTGGACTAGATGGCCTTTAGAGGACCCTTACAATTATTATTATTATTATTATTATTATTATTATTATTATTATTGATGTTGTATGGCAGTCTGTCGGGAGGGCTTTGGTGATGCTTGTCCTGGCATGACGGCAGAAGGGAGCTGGACTAGATGGCCTTTAGAGGACCCTTACACTTATTATTATTATTATTATTATTATTATTATTATTATTATTATTACTGCTACTACTACTTATCATGAAGCAGAGGCTGCGTGACAATATTCTTCTGCAATATATTCTTCTACAATAGGCATGGGCAAACTTGGGCCCTCCAGGTGTTTTGGACTTCAACTCCCACCATTCCTAACAGCCGGTAGGCTGTTAGGAATGGTGGGAGTTGAAGTCCAAAACACCTGGAGGGCCCAAGTTTGCCCATGGCTGATATAGAAATAGATATATAAACAGGCAGATGCATGTGCAAGTGCCAAAGTAGTGTCAGTCCCTTAAAATCTTCCCGGTTCAGAGTCAATTTTCTAATCTGGCTGCCAGACAGAGGAAGGTAATAAGATTTCAGTGTGACAAATGTCCTTTGAGAAGGAAAAAAAGAGAGAGAGAGATGAAAGCAGGATTGCCAGGGAGACACAGCAGCTGCCTGGAGGCTGATTTAATCAAAAGGCAGACGCAGTGTCGCTGGATCTGGACAGGAATATATGAACCAACTCTCCACTTAACTACCCACTTATTATTTTTTACTAGCATAATCATCATATCTCTCTCCCCGACGTTGCATTTTGGTTTTGCATTTTGCAAGGCTATTTTTTGCAAATCAACTCATTGTTCGCTTTGCAATTTTAGGACTAATCCCAATAGAAACTGCATACTCATATAATCAATCTATTATTATCACTACCTCTGAGGATGCTTGCCATAGATGCAGGCGAAATGTCAGGCGAAAATGCCTCTAGAACATGGCCATATAGCCCGAAAAAACCCACAAGAACCTAGTGATTCCAGCCATGAAAGCCTTCAACAATACAATCTATTATTATTATTATTATTATTATTATTATTATTATTATTATTATTATTTCTATTATTATTATTATTATTATTATTATTATTATTATTATTATTATTATTATGGCTGGATGGCCATCTGTTGGGTGGGCTTTGGTGGTGCTTTCCCTACATAGGAGTTGCTGTCCATTGTATAACTGATGGACAGCAACTCCCATCATTCTCAGATCTTCTGCACTGCTCATATACAATCCAGATTTTCTGCTTTGAAATGGATTATCTGGCACTCTAGACTCATATAAACCAATTCAAAGCGGACAATGTGGATTATCCGCTTTGATAATCTGGATTATATATGGCAGTGTACAACGTTCCTGAGCTGTATCTCTGTATGTAGCTGGATCACAACTCCCAGCATCCTTTATCATATTATCTGGCAGTGTAGATTCATATAAACCAATTCAAAGCAAACAATGTGGATTATCCGCTTTGATAATCTGGATTATATGGCAGCATAGAAGGTTCCTGGGCTGTGTCTCTATATGTAGGTGGACCACAACTCCCAGCATCCTTTATCATATTATCTGGCATTGTAGACTCATATAAACCCATTCAAAGTAGACAATGTGGATTATCCCCTTTGATAATCTGGATTATATTTATTTATTTATTTATTATTTGCACTTGTTAACCGCCACTCTCAGCCCGAAGGCGACTCGTGGCGGTGTACAGAACATAGAACATAAAGACAACAGTTACAATAAATCAAGACCATAACACACATCTTACTAACACAACTAATTAAACTAAAAATCCGCTCGTC